GTAAAAAGGTAACCTGAGTTCAGTTGGGAGACATGATGGCTCATCATTTGAAGAGTCCTGAGTCACTAGAAGCTGATGACAGAAGGGCAGGAGATGAAGTCAGCAAACTTCAATTCTACAGAGTCATGGCTATCAGGTGACAGGAAACTGGGTGACATACCAGTAGTGGGCTGGACTCAAATCCCAGGGGGAGATATTGTGTATAAGTGAGGGTCTGTACAGACCGGCCACAAGGGCTGGCCTGGGAGTGGAGTTGGGGCAGGGCGACTGCAAGTCAACCACCCCGACTCTGCCCCAATGCTACATGCCATGTCGCGTACCCCATCTCATGGCGTGCAGTGTCAGGGTGCTCCATCGGTGCAGTGTGTAGACATGCTGCACCAGAGGGGTGCAGAACTGCTGCGACAGCAGCATTAAGGGTGGCTTTTTACCACTCCAAAAGCTGAATCAGGGCGACGGCATGTGAGTGTCACAACCCCGATCTGACGCTCCCAGGGGCGGCACAGAGCCACCCCTTAGGGGCCGTCTGTACGGCCCATGAGTGAGCCAAATGCAAACACTTTGCAAAGCACTTCACCACTTCTAAGGAACCCCTTTGTTCCTTGATAAAGAACTCTTTCCAAATTAGCTACCATTCTTCAAACACCACCACACTTGCAACTTTAAGCCATGAGTGGAATTAGAGCAGGATACTAGTGTCTGTGGCTGTGCCTTATCACATGAAGTAGTGTCTGTCCAGTAACAGATGAGCAAAACCCATCAATGCCCCCCAGTCACACTGTGTTTCTCCTGTTGATGCACATATGGTAAGTTCTTCTCAAAGCAATTCTGATATGCAGGCAGTCACATGGTGTGAATGAGCATGATTCTGCTCCTCTCTCCCTCACTATTCCCAAGTGGTTTTTTGTTTTTGTTTTTGTCCCCCCCCCCTCTCTTTTCTTTTTTTACTTAATGGATTGTCATGATCACAGAATTGCACTAAAAATAACAGTAAATAAAAATGTTGTTTGTTTGTATAGCACCATCCATGTACATGGCACTTTACAAACAGTTACAGAATAAAACATAAGTATTCCAATAATATAAAATATCAATATACAAGGGCAGGGAGGCAAGGCTACGGGGCAGTTGTGCAGAAGACAGAGGCTGGGGCCAAAGTAGCACCATAGCAATTTGGAAGAGTTGTGTGATAACAATTGTCCCCAGCCCAGTATGTTTGTGTTTCCTTGACTAACATGGTTGTGGCACTTTATGAGCCTGGTATGATAAAGTCCTTATACACTTCCACACTCAAAAAGCATTCTACTGAATACATACAATCATACTAACCTATTTCCTAGATAATTAATAACAAATAAATCCTCCCGCATTCATCCCCTCCTACCTTTCATAAAACTCTAATCTTTTATATTTTTAATTTTAGTACACTTAGATAACATCTAAATGAATCAGAACACATCAATTCATAATTACATCCTCACCCCCTCTTCACCCTCCCCCTCTTCTTCACCCTCCCCCTCTTCTTCTTTCTCTTCAATCATACTTTTTAATCACCTAACTCTTTCCAGTCTCTTCCTCTATCCCTTCACTACACTTCCTTACCCTTCTTTCTCTTCCTGCTTCATTCTCCATCCTTTATCTTTCAACCGTCTATCTTGGTCTTCTTATCCTTCTTGTCCTCTTATCTTCTTATCTCCTCACTTTCTCCATACATCCCTTCATACCTCCCTTCATTTCACAACCCTTCACACACCCTTTCTTCACTTAGGACGTTATCACACGTGGGCCAGAAAACGATAATAAAGTGGAAA